AAATTTGATACAAATAAAAAATATATAATTTTTATTGTAATAATCTTTTGTGTTCTATCTTAAATATCAAATCTATAAAACTAATACTAAACCATCTATCCTAAATATTTGTAAAATCAATACTTTATCTCTTTATATCTATTTTAATAACATACTTTTAATCTATAATTTTAATGTAGAACTTATTAATCTTAAAACTTAAATGACCACTACCTTAACAAATACATTTTACAAATTTAGACACGTAATTTAAAATATTTTTTAACAACCTACAAATATATTCATAAATATTTACATTAAAAATGTAACATTATGAAATGAAGTTCTTTAAATGCATCCTTATTCTTTTGATTGAATAAAAAAATCAACTAAAACTTTTAAAAAATCTAACAAAATTGTATCTTTTATATATTGAAGAAATAGAAGTTAGAAGCCACAACACTTAGCATCAGCATGGTTGCACTTGAGAGAAGTGTCAAATAAGATGGCTCTTACTTCCAACCCTCTTTACTTGTAGTTGGATCCTTCATCTGTAATCATATTTATGCTTCTTTGCTACATTCAACTAAATCCTAAATTCCTCTTAACCTAGCTGCCACCTAAAATCCTAGCCGCTATCATAATAACTTGTTTTAATCCTTTGTTATCTTTTGACTATTAGCAACTTATTATGATTTAATTCTATGTAGTGGCAACTGTACAAGATCTTGCTGATCTTCAATATTATATACATTAACCAACTATATCAAAAAGTTCTTATTGCAAATTTTAATTTAGTTCCATAAAAAAGAATTTCATAAATTTGTTTAAATTTTTTATTAATATCAATTAAATCTGAATTCCTATTAACTCCATTATTTTGAAATTTTAATTTAAAAATAACATGTACTACATCTATTTATTTAGATAGTTTTATCTATACTTAATAGATCTAGTAGTATTAATCACAATAACTTATTATCACACTTTTGTAATTTTCAACTTTTCATAAGAAAATTTTCTTGTTTAATTAATATTAAAAATATTAATTTCTATATTAATTTAAAATTCTTTCTATACTTATACATATATTCATTCTTCCACATTATTCAACCATCAAGCAAAAATACATTCTTTTATCGAAAAATATAAATATTTATAGAAAAAATTATTGCATCCATATCCAAATAGGTATTCCAAATCCATTAATGTATAACTTACAAAAAATTCTTCATCCTATGTTTACATATATTTTTAACAAAGTAATAAGGTCCCTCACTTAATCACAAAAATAATAAAATATATTAGTTACTTAATATTTTATTAATATACAAAAGTATAGATCTTATTAAATATATTCTAAAAAATCATATTCTTATATATAAAAGTATGTAAGATTAAAATAATAAATATCTTAAGTCTTATAAATAAATAAATAAATATTATAATAAAAAAATTCTATTTAATAAAATAGCTTAGTTATACTAGATTCTTATCCAACATCTACTTGAAACTAAGTCAATTTTCTTTTAATACAACATCCATTGAATTTACAATCAATATATTAGTCTATTCACTTTGTCACTTCTAGTATCAAACAAAATTGCAAAATAGAATATTTAAAAATAATAGCCATTTAGTTCTACAAAAACTAATCTCATAAACTTGCAATCATGTTGCAATCTATTCAATCCACTACACACTTAGCACACTACTTTCTAGTCTAATTGGACTCATAGAATTATCTCTTTTTTTTTCTTTTTTTCTTTTAGGGGGGAGGAGAGGGGGAGAAGCATGCAAGTTACAACAATCTTTATTGACTACTCTTACAATGCCTTTATATGCATCAACAACAACAATGTGTAAAATCCAAAGTAGCAATTGCCTCACAATTTAACAAACCATCTAATTTTGAAACTCAAGCCAAGGCATAAATGATTACTGATAAATGCATGCAAATCAAGCTATTATTTATTCAAAACTTCTACAAAATCGTATTACGTGTTGTCTTGTTTAAGAATGCACCGGGCACCTAGCAGTGGAAGGTGAGGTTGTGTTTCACAAGTATCCAAGAAATCCTAATAAATTTCATGTATATGAGAAGAATATAATCTGAATTTCAATCCAAAAGTGCTAGAAAAAAACTCTTCTTAGTAGTCTTAATCATACATAAATCTCAATTACCTTGTTACTTTCATATTTAAGCAATTTAGATTTTTCTTATAAGCCCCTATTCTAATCAGTGAGTTTTAACAAGCTGTAACATCTAATTTGACCCTCCACTTGATGCAAAATTTTGCATGCAATTGTCAATGTAAGTCTTCTATATGCTCAAGAATTTTCAGTCCAATCCAACTTACACATTGTGAGGAAACCTCCAAAAATTGCATTGATGTCATTCGGCCACCAACTTAAAAAGTGAAGCAAAAATCCCAGCAGTAATTTCTCTCTTTTCAACTGTTAACTTTGACTCAAAATTAGTGTGCAGCTTGATCTTTAGGTCCTTCAACACCATGCCATATTTCAGCTTGATCACGACAACATTTCAACAATTAATAGGTAAGCCAAGCAACTATGATTGTGGTAAAGTGATGCTATATTTTTTTAGATTTGATCATGCTTAGAATAAAAATAAGACTAATTGGTCACCATCAACAATATAATTGAAATATTGACAAAGACATCCACTACATTGACATGAAAACAAGTAGTTTTTATAAGTAGCCATCATTGCGCTAGAATCTTGGTGCTTGTTGTGTCTACGAAACCACCTTATGATGTCAATTGTTATACTTCCTTTGCAGCTATAGCTATTAGAAAGTAAATACTAAAATAGAACTATACAAGAAAACAATACCTTCTCTCATTACAAACCTATGCAAGGCCTGAGGTGACCTTCTTATTTTGATCCAAGTAGATAAGTGAGGATAGGTTTGCTTCCCCAAATAAACCATTATTTGAGAAGAAGTTTAAACTATCATTGCATCCATCCTGGAGGTCAAAAATTCCATCACTTTCAAACTATTCTTCCAAATTTGCATCATTCAACACATATGAACATTTTGTTTATTGATCACCTACTTAATTTTGTGTTGATTCAAAACATCCATATTTGTGCTAAAAATTTACAAAAACCAATCATATATAAACCACAAGAAGCAACATGAAAAGGAGGATTAATGTTAAGTAAAAAATTAGTGGTTAATTACTCAAAATAACTCTAATATAATCTACACTAGAATTAAGAAACATTGTAGTCTATTAAGTTTTCTACATAAATTAAAAGTTATTTCTTTACATTATATTCTTCTATTATTATTAGATGATATGTTGTTTAGTCTTGTATTATTTTAGGATTCTTAAAAAAGTAATATACATATTATATTAAATATTTATAACAACAATAAATTTTACAATCAAGTTTTCAACAACCTCTATTCTTTTAACATGTTATAGTTGTCATTAAATTAAGTAAACTATAATTGTCAAACACAAATAATATGTACTTTTGTTAATACCATAAGTTTGAGAAAATACTAATACCAGATCTATACATTATACATTCAGAATCAAAATAATTCCTTTGAAGTAAGAAAGCTCAATATAAATTTCATCAAAAATATATTTATTATTTTTTGTCAAAATTAAGAATTTACTTTATTTCTAGCTTGTTTATATTCTAAGGCGTGTTTTAGAATACAAAAGCTTCTATTGCTTTGATAAGAGTGTGATTTGGTTGAAATGAGATAGAATATATATTAGACAAAATAGGATAATTGACTCTAGGACAAAGTTAAGGTTAAGATTGTATAAAATAAATTATAAAAATAATAAGGTAGATACTCATGAGTAAGGATTGAAATCGAATCCTAGGGTACTATAACAATTGCTTATAATAAACCATGTTTAAGTTCAAAGATTGAAAATGAGGTTAAAGAATTAGCTTTGAGAAGGTTCCGACTTTACAAAGACTTTGAAATGGACAATTAAAATCAAGATTTTTTTGGTAACAATTATATAAAGGTAGTAAAGATAGGATATTGAATTCATATTAAAATTTAAGTAAAATACAATTATCAGCATTTTTAAAATAGTCACCATAATGCATAAAAACACACATTTACACATACACTATCAATCAATCCACATGAAATACCATATAAAACTTTTGACTACACTTTAATTTAAATGCCATATAAAATTTAGTTACTCTTTCTTTTCCCTGTCAATATTGTTCAAGAGTTTTTAAAAGTAAGCGTCTTTTTAGGAAAATCTAGGATTCGTAATTCCAAATTAAAGTTGTTTGAATTACTCAAAAACATAAAATTATCAATCTACATGAATTTCTTGTGCACAAGTATTATGAAAATTATGGAAGAGACAATCATCAGTGGTGTTCTTAGTAAATAAGAATGTACAACCTGGAAACAATTTTGTCCTAAACAAAAAAATTACCATTTCATTGTAGTCCAAACCTGAGTGCTAAACCATAACCCTAAACCAAATTACTAACATTGCTAGTCTACCTGGTCATTCTGCAAATCTGTGCTGCTTGAGATCTTAGCTTCGAATCGATGCAAGTGGTTACTACCTAACTAGCATCCTTAATTCACACCTTAGTTTCCGGATAAAAGTGCATCCAGCTGAGAAATTGTGCTGAAAGAAATATGGTTTTAGCCATGTTAAGATGACTGCACTTCATGTCGTGTTTCCCATGACTATGATCTTGACAGGAAATGAAACAGGTACAACTGTTATCGGCCTTCTGCATATGCCGGGCCTGACTCCAATCCCATTGTTGGAAACCCATTGTTGGAGAAGTGAGTTTATTATTTTAAGGGAAAGTTTAAGGAATAAGTTGTATTTAGATGTGTTTATTCCACCCCGTTGGACAAGGATAGATAATGGAAGGTCAGAAACCTGAAAGACGGCCACTCCAACTCGAAATGGATACGTGCACTACGGATACTAAGACAAAACCTTGGCTTCCTGCTGACTGGAGGCAGGAATAACGATAGAAATCAAAAGAAAAATAAGTGAGAACCACGCAAATCGGTTCATGAATTCACTTCAAATTGTACTCTATTTTGCACCAGACCTAGCAAGGGGGTCTGCTTTCACCACCACATATATGTAAGGAAGACTAGTACATCAGGCCAAGCAGGTGCTGGGAATTCATGGATTTACACCTAAATCCCACTTCCCCTGACGAAAATATTCTATGTATTCTCCACTAGAGCATGAACTAGACAATTTGCGTTACGATCAAATTCAATAAATGGCAGTGCTCGGATCGAGGGCATTTGCAGAAAAGAATACCGAAAGTAAATAAAAGAAACTCAAAGAAGGAGCCTAGAAGTAAATACTGAAGTAAGTTGCTGCAATTGTACCTGCTCACTGCATGGATAGCCACCATGTAGGACCTTCCCAACAATTTATGTACTAGGCAATTATACGGACAGAATGTTGTGAGTCTGACCTTCCATAGCAACATTAGGCCATGAGTGTCTACTAACGACCTCCCGGTCGCCCTTGTTGCGCTCTGGAGTCTTGTCTGGGCTTACCTTCGAACAACTCGTTTAACATTCTTTCTAAGTCATCAGGACTGTACTTCAAATACTTGCTCACACTTTGCTTTCCCTCAATCAGGCCGCTGCAATACCAAAAGGGGGGGGGGAGGGGAGGGGGGGGGGGGGTAAATTAAGAATTGAATAAAAAAAACAATTAGGATGTCTTTCGTTGCTGTGATTCAGAGAAGCAAATACTTGACAAGCGAGAGAACAGCAGTAAAGGAAATAGTAGTAAGGAGTGAATTCGACAGTTTGGCAGGTCCGGTACCTGTAACGCTTCAAGAATGCGCGATAGGCAGGCAGAATAATTTCTTGGGCTTGCAGTCGAACTGCCTCTCTGAGCTCATTGTCAGGTACTGTCCACTGAATTTGACGCATGTACAACTCTTCAAAGGTTAAACTGAAGCCCTTCAACCTGCGCAGAGGAACATAGTTGTATCACCATCCAGGCTTTTAATGTCGCAAAACTACCAAAACATAACCACTTCATTACAAGTCAAAGGAAATAACTTTAACACTGCTGCATACCTTTCTTTAAGCTGCGACTTAGAAATGCCGCTGTCGCCACTAGATCCACCACCTGACCCGGTTATGAATTGCAACACCTGTAAAATTGTAAGAGCAAAGTTTCAAGTGCCATTCAGACATGTTGGTTGAATTCTTTGAAAATAAAAACTTTTGCGAGGATTGCCTACTCTCTTGAGGAAATAGGACTTCCATCTGTGAGGAACAGCATGACAGGAGTTGCAAACCTTATTCCAGGCAGCTCGTTGGTAAAACATATTGTGCTGCTGAACAACTCTTCGTTGTCTCTGTACCCAGTCGTCACCCAACATATCCTTCGCCTCAGATCTGCATCATCCATTGTGTTCGAATTAAGAAAAATTCAGAAAGAGAGTTAAAAAAAAATAGAACATTCAGTGTGATAATTTGAAGAAAGAGTTGGTGGCATCTACAGTAGGTACGATACCTGCGGACAGACTTCACCATGTAATGAATGTTGTTCATCAGGAACAAATGGGAAAGCGCAGTGTCTCTGTACAATTTCGCTTTTCCTTCCAGATTGGCTTGTAATACTGACATAATGCGACCTGTAGCAGCTGTCAAATGCGATACCTTGTCCACGGAGCCGTCTGAGAACAGCTCGTTCAGTGTGTTCTGATAGCTATATCACAACGTACCAAGTACAATAATCCCCACCAGTCAATAATAATATCCTACGGCATAACCATGAATCCAAGTGTGCACTCCTTCATTTGTAATTGCTTATGTGTGTCTCCTTCTATACATACATATACACATACAAATAGAGAGGCAGAGAGGCAGACGGAGAGAGAGAGAGAGAGAGAGAGAGAGAGAGAGAGAGAGAGCGAAAAAAATAAATGAATATGGTAGATACTTACTCCAGCAAAAATTTGACGTAATTTATGACATAACTAGTAAGCATATGAACTGTCCCGTCCAAAACTAAAGTCTTTGTTGCATCCTTGTCCACGGCATCTTCAAAATCTGCAAAAGTGTCTTTAGCGGTCTGGCCTAACCGCCTAACAAGGCTTGTCGCTGCTTCCCGCATGGCTGTAGCTGCATCTCCTGAAAATACCTGTTCAATCTGATACAAGACACAGCGCATACCCATATTCCTTTAGCAAACCAATTTCTATTTCGAACGTACAACCAATCAGCCCTGCACATGTAGAGTCCATTAAAAGAGAAACTGGTACTTCACACAACTCCAATTGCTAGCTTAATGTAATTTGTAACACTTGACACCAATATAATTTCAGAAAGGCCATTCAATTCATAATTTTGACACCTGAGAAACAAGTCTGTCCCCCTTCCTAATGACCAGAAAGCGACTTATATAGCGAACACGTTAAACAACATGATTGCAATTTACATCCGAAATGACGGTTAAGCGGCAACAGCCGCGGGGGAAGAAAAGAAATTTACCTCAGGCTGAAGATCACGCATAGTTTCATACATATCAAGCAACACAAAAAGCTTCTCCGGTGTTTTTTTACTCCTAGCTATGGCTTCTCCAAAACTCAACAACATATGAACGCTCGAATCAGTTACATCCGCAAAACACTTCTCCCTGTGTGGATCGAGGCGGGCCCATATTTGGTCGCACAGCATTCGCTCTGCAGAAAATAAAAGTTTTATCTGAACAAAAATTGTTATTTGAGTGAGAATATCCACGCTCAGTTTGAGAACAAAGATGGCAAAAATCCCAAAATTCAGACTTCACAACGGATTGGAAAACCGGCTGAAATCTAAGCTACTGGAAAGTTCTTCACTCGTTACTTACAGCGTTAAGATAGACTTCGTGGACATGTGAAGTGAAAGGAAGGTGATGCAAGATGCTTACAGCAATGCGCATGTGCTGAATCCAGTTAGTAATCTTGCCCTCCTGTAAATCCCAAGGCATTCTGATGATATCATCTTTGCTCAATCTTTCAACCCCCAACTTTCGCAGACTCTGCTCCAAAGTTGACGCTCTCACATCTCTGCACCAACCACATCAACGCCGTGACACTTAGCATCCTGCACCAGCAAGGGTTTATTAACAGAAAGGAAGACTTCTAAAACTCACTGAGCATAGACACCCCGCAACATTGATGGGAAAACAAATAGACCTACATATATTCCATGGTCACCATTATCATACGCTGAAATCAGGTCCCTTCAGAGGCATCCTCATCCAAGTAGAACAGAAAGGATCATTCGCAGATCAAAGTTGCAAAATCTTACCTATAAATTTTAAGACATTGTTGATGAAGACCAGCACTAACTAGGCGCTGTGCCATCGCAGTTAGCTGAGGTATAACTCTTGGCGACACCAGAACAGGAAGAATTGGAGGATTGAGGGCTTTATCATTATGAGGAGTGTTCGTCAGCAATAGTGCCTTCGCACCGTCACCATGCTGTGGAGATTCTGGCACATGCTTCTCAGGGCTCGGCAAAGTTTCCATGAGTCGAACAGGATCTTCTGGCTTGCTACAAGGAGCACAAAACAACACAACCCCAAGCTCGCCACTGTAAATATCTCACAACATTCATTATTTACGTTCTTCACTCAGCTAACATTCATAAACCACAGAAAGTGTGAATCCCTTTTTCAAATTTGCACAAAAACAGTGATCCTTGCAAGAACAAGGGGTTTATCTCCTTTTAACACAAACCGACATGAAGTACTTTCCAGCAGCTAAATAGAGGAAGGGTTCACACCCCCGATACTAACCTGTGAGCAGTCAGAAGTGCTCTGAATTCTTCTTCAAGTCGGCTCATGCCTTTGCTAAACAAATCCCTAGCATGAGTCAGAGCCGTGTCACTTGCTTTCAAGCTACGATTGAAAGTGAGATACTCAACATTTGTATGAAGCGTGTCACAGGCTTCCAGAAATCCAACGAGGTCGTCTTTTGGCCCCCGGAGCACTTTATCTTCCACCTTCACACCAAACCAAACCAAACCAAGCTTCATAAAATATTCTAAATTTAATGTTTCTCTCAAACGGTGAACACAGATGTGAACATAGATATTGAAAAATGATGAGAAGGTAGGGCACTCTTCATACCTGACGGGCAACCTCAAATTGTTGCAACACGGATTCAGCTTCTTTAAGGGTACTGTCGATGTTTTCATGAGCTTTACGAAAAGCATGTGTTTTTACCTGAACTCAAGATTAGACCAAGAAATATTAATTTGAAGACTTCAGTAACAGTTGTAGTTTAGAAGATGATCAATAGTACACAATTATGACTAACTACATCTCCTGCGATCCGCTCGTGAAGATCGAAAATTAAACACAGAAGCGAATTTTATGATCGATACTTACTTGAGTTGGGCGCATAGCAGTCTCGAGAGTAGATAATCGATTGTCGAAGGAACTTAAAATGGTAATCATGGTATCAGTGATTTGCCGGCTCTTTCCCAGGCTCTCGCGCATGAATTCAGCGCGAGAAATAAAAGCCTCGATACCATCTTCGACCCCCATTTTTACAGAATCTCCTCACACTATGAGGCTACAACTCAACTCTGTTGTTCACTTCCATATTCTGCTTCAATGGCTGCTACCAACTTATCTCTCTTGTCGCATCAATCAGTAATGAAAAAATGTGACCCTTGTTCACTATAATCTTCCTCTTCGTATCCTCTCATTTCAGTTTCGCTGAGCGTGGTAGACGAGGTGATGCGGTAACAAGTAGAATTCCACAAAAGCTTCAAGAAAAGAGTGAATCACCACCACCTCGGCCACATGAGGTCGAATCGATCGCTGTACTTAAGGTGGGAAAACGCATTCTTCAATCTCAGCTTCAAGAAATCCACACCCAAACCTGTAAGCAACAGTGCTCAGTCCATAACCAGAATCAAAGATGTCAACTATTAGAGCAACAGAGTTTTAAGTTTTCGAATATTCTTACATTTTACCTTCTGTAAGAGTAAATGGTATCAGATCAAAGAAAAATATAAGAATATTCGGGAACAGGAAACGGGGGAAGAAAAATACTTCACACGCATCGACCGAAAATGAACTGGTACAGAAGGAACAACTAAACGTCACTACTGCCTCTCATCCCAAGCGCACGTCATTCTTGATCTGCAGCTTGAAATGCCTAGCCAGGTATTATTGGTCTGAACCGCGAACCCCTTTCTCACGGCTTTACAGCAAGCTCCAAAATTCACAAATTTCTAGGTGATCTCCCTTGGAGACACATGTGAGAAATAAGAAGATCAGTGTCGGGTTCACATCTAACTGAAGAAATCCACAATTTCCCAGCCCTTACAAAGAAAATTTCCCTCCTGTAGAGCACTATATACAGCGAAGGAGCGGATGTGGACAACGAACCTAAGGCTTCACTATAAATCTCAAATGGAGGGGATTAGACCAAAGGTGGTAGTTCGGATAAACTATTGTAGCCTCGGTGGACACTTGCGGCTAAAATCTGAACCCTGAGAACTGTCTTCTAACCGTGGGATAGGGTCTTCGGGTACGACAAAAGAAAACCAAATGCTCGTGCCGAATTTCCTTGACGCGGCCCTAGAGCGGAGATTACTTGCGTAGGAGAACTCCAGCTCTTCTTGAATCAAACCAGAGAGAGAGAGAGGAAGGAGGGAAGAAAGAAAGAAAGAAAGAAGAAAAAAAAAAAAAAAACACACACACACTCACAATAGCCTGTGACTGAATGGTACCAGTGAATAGCTCTCAATGTTAAACAGCCACCTTCCCTACTTGCAATTAATCAAAAAGCCCAGATTGAAACTCCTGTAAGAATCAGCACCCAAACTCCACGAAACCTGTCGAGATACTCCAAGCGGCACCGAAATTGAACCACCAACCCTCCAGCTTCAAAAGTAGGTGCCTAAAATCTACGGCAGGAAGATGAAGACAGCCTTCTTGAAAACAGCCAAAGACAGAAACGAACGAAGAAATCCCCATTTCCCCTCTTAACCATGCCCGCCCGCGTCATCTCACCCGACACCACCCACCCACAACCATTCCGCAACCGCCACCCACATACCCAAATCACGCGCAATCTCCGAATCATTCCCGTTACTCTAAACCAACAACCCAACGAACCGACCAAACCCCACCCCCCCCCCCTCCTACTGTCTCCTCACAACACCCAAATTACTTAACACGAGGGGCTCAGTAACAGCACATGCAATAAGTTTGGCACCTACCCTAACGCCAACAGTCCCAGTAGCTCGAGCTTAGGGAAATGGAAAGCTGCAAAGACAACAGAAAATGAAAGGTAGGAGTACAAGGGGTGGCAAAGGGGGGAACAGAAAGTAAAGCGACAGAACAGGCAGAACAAGAAGAAGAAGAAGAAGAAGAAGTGAGAGGAAGAGGAGATGAAGCCCTGGAGGAAGAAGAAGGAGAAGAAGAAAGCCAAGAGAAGCGACGACCCATAATTTGAGCCAGCCCAGCAACAATAATAAACAAAGGCGCGGCTCGGCTAAATTTGAGGAGAGCACGACATGCAAGGTCTCCCGAGGCCCAGCTTTGACTGTTCTATCCCCGCTTCCCTCCTCTCCTCGCCCTCCTTCGCCTTCGCCGCTTCCGCTACCGAAGAAGAGGCCGCTCCCGTCTCTGCAGCCTTGGAAGTGCCGCCCACAGCTCCTCCCCCTTACAGAATCCTAGACCGACGGATTAATTGCCTCCGTCCGGCTTCGTCCCCTGTACGTCTGCGTTCGTCCTCGGCTGTTCGCTTCTGTCTCTCATCGTCCGTCTTCGTCTGCTTTCGTTCGTCTGTGCAAGGGGCTGTTCTTCGGGGAAGGCGCTCTCACGGTGCTGTTTAGTTAGGTGACCTTTTTAACAATAATAATGACGTTAGATTTGTTATTTCTTGCTGTAATTTCGAATTTAATATTTAGAAATTATGTTTGAGAAACAACAACAATTGCTAAATCTGATTTAATTTACAATACTTCTTTGAGTGTTAAAACATTGTTTGTAAATCTCTAGAGCACAAAAATAAATAAATAAATAAATAAATAAAAGATAGAAAAGAGATTGTATAAGTTACCTACAAGCAGAATATTATTCACTTGATAAAAATGACAATTCTAGGTGGTTTCCAAAATATATTAATAAATGTTATGAAAACATTACGAGTTGAATAACAAAATGTAAAACTTTACAATGTAAATGGTGTGTGTAGCCAATTTATTGTTCATACAAAAAATTATGAATTCTAACCTACCTACCATGTAATTAAACATTAAGACGAACTCAAATTTAAAACCCAATAAACGTAATGAAACATGGGATGTGAATGTCAATTAACAAAAACATCATGAATGAAAAAGCAAAATAAAATAAAATGAATAACCAACGTATTTATTTGATTTGTAATGTTCTTTTTATGAAATAGTTTTGGTTGCAGGAGTGGAACAAGAAAGATTCTTTAATACACATATGAAATAACCATTAGTTTCTTATAGGTAACATAAAAAAAAAAAAAAAAAAAAAAAAAAAATCTATTTTATGACAGTTTTTGTATTTAAAATCGAAATTGGAATATTGATTGTAACTCTTCTTTCAATATAGTAATAGAGTTTTGCATGCCATCAGAACCAATTGCACATCCTCTCTTATTTTATTCTCTAATCACATTTATGATCATTTTCTTTTCCTTTTTCAAATAAACTTTTCCATTAATAGAATTGCTCTCAAATTTGAATGTCACGTGCTTAATACTTTTTCTTTGTTGTTCTTTGTGTACCCAATTGGATGAGGGAGGATGGAGTATTGTTCATCCGTTACTTGCGAAGTCATTCATCCACTACGCATCGAATCTCATCTCATCCACGTCAGCAGACTCTTGAACACCTGTCGCTGCAATGATTTGAGTGCCCCTTGTCTTTCCCTCTTTACCAAATGGACACGTGTCACTTCTACTTCTACTTTTACTAGTAAGTTACTACTACTACCACTGCTGCTGCTATCGCAATGACCTGGATTTGCGTATATTTTGGCATTTTTATTTTATTTTATATGTGTTGTTGTTGTTGTTGTTGTTGTCCATAATATGGCCCCCTCAATCATTCTCTTTCTGCCACTTCAATTCACTAGTTTAACTTACTTACGTTTCCCTGGTCCAGCTCCAATCCTTGCTGATAATGACAATAATAAAACAAATGAAGAACAATAATGAAACCCACATCTCTCACACTGGGTTTATACATATATACACATATATATACATACATATATATATATTGGAAGGGAAATAGCAACATTCTTTTCGTGAAAACCTGTGAACAAGAAAATAAAAAAGTAAAATGCATTTGAGAATCCAAAGCAGCCTTTACTTACCTTTATTACATGTTTCCCTTTGCACATGATATCGTGTGATTTTTTTTGTTTTTGTGTTAATTTGTAATATGGATGATGTGGCTTGTTTTTATAGCAGTAAGCCCATTTTTATTTTTACATAAAATACTGTATTAATATTTTGAAATCTTATTTTAACCATCCTCATTCAGGCATAAAAATTTAATTTTATATTTCTACAGAATAGTGTTTTTATGTGTACATGAGTTTTTACAAAAAAAACGTATGAATACATATGTACAAAGTTTTGTAGAATCATTTTATGCAAATGACACACTCATGTTCAAGACCCTGCCTTCGTGCCGATCCGTTGAATTCTATTAAATTGATACTGAAGACCTGTTGTTACCAGACAGTAACTTTAACCGGGAGAGAACCGGGTATGATTCACCATCTTCGTGACCCAGCAGTTGTGTGCGGGTATCGCAGGATCTTTGTTTGGGAACCATTGCAGTGCGTTGTCTGTACATGTGGCGATGGCAATGGCGATGTCAGCTCAAGCTTCGCTGGTGTCTGGCCACTCTTGTACTAAGTGAAGGGATGATCTCGGATCTAGACTAGTACCGCTCGCTGGTACTATCTCTAATGCGGTAGACTGGGGTAAGAATTGATGGAAGAACTTCTTTTGCACGGGCACAACGTTACGGTGAGTGCCCCGCGAAATGAGTCTCGCAGAGCTTGAGAATCTGGTTATGGCTCTTGGAGTTTTTTGAACGCGTAGTCGTGATGAGCTAGGAAATGCGAAGCAAGCAAGCGAAACTCTCGATTGTAAATATTCGACGATAATTTCCCCAAGCGGAAGAATTGGTGTTGGAACGAGCCCAAGCCCGAGCCCGAATTGTGAACCGGAAAGTTATTATTCTACCAACCGGTGTTCGTTGATTCGCGAAGTTAGCTCTTTAGGTTTCATCATTTGACTAGAATTCCGCATGCTGCCTCTCGACTTGGGTTTAAATTCACCCCTTATTAAATGTTTAGGGTAAAAAATTTGTTGGTTCAGGTTTCTTGTCCTCTTTTTCAAGGATCGCCCTACATAAATTTGGAGGTTGGAGTCCGGCTCCTTTGAACTTCAAATGCAAGGTTACGTAACATGCAATTATTTTCACCTTCTGCAAAGTGTCTGAAATGTGATAATCACCTTGCAGGCGTGGATTCAGAGCTCTGGCGGATTGAAATTATGTTCTTTGAACTTTGAAGTGAAGGGCTTCGATCCAAACAATAAGGTCTCAGCACCTTGCGACGCCTGAAGACAAGTAGATGTGCATGAATAGGTCCACAATCCTCTTAAAGCAAGCCATGTGTGGCCCTGGCTTCAAAGCTGTAGAACAGCAGCACAATCATCTCGTCAGACAGGTGTTCCTAGCCTATTCTAGGACGTTGATTCCTTGCATCAGGGCGGTGATACTTTGATAGTTTCTCATAAATTCGTACCATGTTGCCGCATTCCCTTACAGAGAATGACTTGATGTGAAGCATCCCTTGCGTTGGTTCACGATGTCCAATCTCACGAGCTTGGCAGTCTGGAATCAGAACAGTCGATTCGATGTGACTGCATTAACAATTACACGTAATTCAAGGTACTGGTATGATATAGGGTTTACGTTTTTAGCTACCCACTGTTGAGCACCCCAGGCTCCTAGACTTGCTCGTTTCACCACTCTCACTGACAACAACGAGAAAAAGCCTATTTTCACAGTGCAGGCAAGAATTCAACCTCCGTGTGGGGTGTATCGTTGGAAAAGCCCATTTTCATAGTGCACGCAAGAATTCAACCTCCGTGTGGGGTGTATCGTTGGTGGATGAGCAAATTTTGTTGCAACTTCGAGAAGTAACTGATGTCAGAAATCACTGTAGATCAGAGAGTTAATGAGGAAAAAGACATGGTCTGCATTGTGCAGTTGATACTTATCATCAGAATTCTCTAGTTGCTGTGATGTGGACACCGGCATTACTGTGCATCGTACTACTACCTCAACTTTTTTCCCCTAGTCCACGCTTGAGTTGCTTTGTGTCTTCTTTCTCACCAGTCACAACCATAGGTGTATTCCTTAAAATGTTCTCCACATCCTTTGCATGCTTCCGATCAGCCGTGTTTTTCAATGACTTGCTGAAAGGCGCGATGAAAGCTTTTCGCAACACATGTTTTGCGAATCCTTGTCATCCTTGCGAGTACTCCGGTGCGGTTTTTCGGCAACATAGAGCTAATGCTTCTATCGGTAAGCAAGATCTTCCAGCACATGAAGTTACTCATATAAGTCCGTAATTGCTTGATACCTCGCATCAGCAGGAGGTTCCAATCCGTTCACTATTGAAGATGCTGGAAACTTGAAGATATGGAGATAGCCAAAATGCCGCACGTACCCAGGCATTAAAATCCGGCATCCCGACCATACCCAACGGTTATCAGTTGGTGCAATCGAAAAGGACTACAGAAGCAGTTTGGACCAAAAGATCTGGACCTTAAAGATACAGAGGATACACAGTGAGAACGAAAAAAGGGGCGATATGGACACGTCGGCTGACTTAGACGAGACTTTGACGAGACTTAGACGAGAGTGCTCCGAAATTTTAGACTCGACAGTGGAGGTCCGAGGAGAGTGAAGGTCCGATTGTTGCGGGTACCCTGTTGCCCTGCTCGCCGCATCCCCATCCTGGATCATCCCTACTGCCTTTGTAAGTCATTTCAAGCTGTCGATGCCACGATTTAAGTAAGCTTGCAGGATTCTTTCACTTCTGTGCTGGTTTCATCTCTAGTTCTCAGATTCAATGTGAAGTGTGTGCAGTGTGGATTTTTGAGTTGGGTTTGTGGTGTGTGGGAAACAAGGTGGTGGATTCCCATGGAGCAGGCCACCATGGCATCTTGTGCCCAGGCTTTAAGCTCTAGCTCCTTATCCAGGAGTCCAGGCGCTCTGTTGGGTTCGTCACGACTGACCCTGTGTACCAGGGGAGTGTTTTCGCCAGTTTGTGTTTCCATGAGGAAGGGCTTTCGGGGAAGAAGTTTCTGTGTTATTCGGGCATCAGTGACAGGTAATGGTGTAGTTTGTGTGAGGGGATCAGGAAGGAAGAATCTAATTCGAAATGGTGATGAATTTTGGGTTTCGGAGAGGGTTTGAAGTGCGGGGCATGGCGGACAATAAATAATCAAACATATCCGAGCATTTTTATTTGTTTTTGAATGTTTCTCAATATTTCCTGAATGCGCAGGACAGTTGAATCAGTTTGTGCAGTCTGCAATTAAGGCACTCAAGCTTTTGTGGATGCAAACAGGGGGTAAGGAGGCGGAAACTGCTCGGTTGGCGACGAATGATGGCTCGGCTCAGTCTGCTTCGCCGGTGTCGGCGAAAGATGAGTCACGAGTAGCAGGTTCCCAGAACGGGGTTGCAGTTGCTACTGAAACTACAGTTAGTATAACTGTTGTAGGAGCTTCTGGAGACTTGGCGAAGAAGAAAATCTTTCCAGCTTTGTTTGCTCTCTACTACGAGGGTTGTTTGCCCAAGGTTCGTCACACTGTTCTTTAGACATTGAATTGCCAGCCAGAGTCCTACCTTATTGCTAAAACTTGATTGATTTAATGCATACACAAGTTTGCAATAATGTGAAATGTTTGGGTCGGATTGGGTTGTGGTTATAAAGGAAGTTTTACTATTGCTGCGTGAGTGGACCCACGCCACATGAGACGTTCAACACTGAATGTGGTGGTTGGTTCAGAATAATATAGAAGCATATAACTGTGGTCCATTTTCATATGAGTTTTTTTTCAAGGTCTCCGCTGGAATCCATTGAAACCATCGTATTTAATTGATTGGAACACATAGAAACCTCATTGGAATACTCTAGTTGTGGTCACCTCTGTAAGGGGTCTTTTGTATTCTTCCGAAGAAAAGCTTCTGTGACTAAAGTTTAAAACCCTCTTTGTTTAATCTGTTTTTGTGGGTGTGATACGATGTTCTTCTTTGAGCGCTTTTGTTTCAGTTCTAACTTAGGGGTACTATCTTTGTCACAGCATTTTACCGTGTTTGGTTTTGCTCGAAGCAAGATGAACGATGAATCGTTGCGAGAGATGATTTCGGGAACACTTACTTGCAGGATCGATCAAAGGTAAGTCTCGGACTGTGCAGATGTTTATTGTTCTCAAAGTGGACAATAGATTTCATGATGTCTCTCTTTCGATGAAATCTACATCTGGTGGTGTGATACGGAATTTGATTCAGAATATCCTAGTTATGCGTCATTAGAACTAACATAATACGTTTTCACAGGGAGAATTGCGGTGACAAACAAGAAGAGTTTTTGAAACGGTGTTTTTACCATTCCGGCCAGTACAGTTCAGAGGAATCTTTCGGAGAGCTCTCCAAAAAGCTTCACGAGCATGAGGTCTTGTGCCTCTTTTAAATGATGTATTGATTATTTTGTCTTTCGCTGACGTAATTAATGCGTAGTAAGTATGTTACATCCAGCAACATTAGATAACTAGTACTAAGCCTTTGGTAGTCTTTTGTTTGCTCCCTAAGATGGGGTCTGTACCTGAACTATATATTAAATTCAGGATTGCTATGGCAGGGCGATAGAGTGGCCAACCGACTATTCTACCTCTCTATTCCGCCTGATGTCTTTGTGGATGTTGCCCGGTGTTCAAGTCTAGCTGCTTCTTCAGCAAATGGCTGGACACGTGTTATTGTAGAGAAGCCATTTGGTCGAGATTCAGAATCCTCTGCAGAGCTTACACGGGGTTTGAAAACTTACTTGAATGAAGACCAGATCTATAGGTAGGTTTTTCTAACTGATATGTTCAATTGTAATATTTTGGAAGCCTTTCAACCACCTTTAGTTGCTCTATATTTGGATTTGAGGCCTAACGTGAAGGTTGAGGTAAAGAAGAGTTGACTCGACACATGCTGACGATTGTCTCAAGGTTAGGAGTTGGCTTGGAAAAATAGATAGTATACTTCGTTAGATGTGTCGAACCTTATCTCCGTTTCTGGTGCATGAAATCTTTTAAACGGTGAATTAAAATGTAATTTAAGATAAAGTACTCCAATTTTTAAATATTAAGGCCTTGGGAGCAGCCCAACTTCTGTATGAATGGATTTTCCTCACTTTATATTTCCCTTAGCTTCTCCTTAGACTCTAGCCTAATTTGTGTAAAGCCATCTTGAGTTTCTTTGATGCTTATTTCTTGTCTAATTCGTATAATCCCGTCCTCCTGCAGAATTGACCATTACTTGGGAAAGGAATTAGTGGAAAATCTGTCAGTGTTGCGATTTTCAAATCTCGTTTTTGAACCATTGTGGTCACGACAGTACATAAGGAACGTGCAATTCATTTTCTCTGAAGACTTCGGCACTGAAGGTCGTGGCGGGTAAGAGTTTTGTATCCCGAAAGCATGAAGATGTGTATTTGTCATTTGCACTGCTTTCGAAATGATAGTTGTGTTGAAATCGGCCAACTCTGAATTAAATGTTTCTGGGTCATATACAGGTATTTTGATAACTACGGCATCATTCGAGACATTATGCAGAATCATCTTCTCCAGATACTGGCACTGTTTGCCATGGAGCCACCTGTGAGTTTGGATGCTGAAGACATTCGAAATGAGAAGGTGTGTCTTGTTTTTCCTGTCGGACCCTCTTTTTTTTGTTTTTAAATTTATTTTTAAAATTCAACTTTTTTTAGTAAAAAGCATAAGTGATTTCGTTTTCATTGACATCATTGTCCGTATTTGGGTCGAGCAGCTATTCTAAGTCTTAATTTTCTTCATTGGCTCTCGGTGGTAAGATCAAATCACTTACGTTAATTCCGCTTACATGGTTATTCTTGCAGGTAAAAGTTCTCAGGTCAATGAGGGTACTGGATACAGACAATGTGGTGGTTGGCCAATATAAAGGGCACACCCGTGGCGGAGTGAGGTATCCTGCCTACATTGAAGACAAAACTGTGCCCAACAACAGCATTACTCCCACGTTTGCTGCAGCTGCTCTTTTTATTGACAACGCTCGTTGGGATGGAGTTCCATTTCTGATGAAGGCCGGGAAAGCCCTACATACGAAAAGGTATGCATCTGTTCATTTCGTGGCATGCATCATGTTTTAAAATGTTGTTTTTTGATGTTTTAAGCATGGAGCTTTGTAGAATTGGTGAGGATGAGAGGTATTTGTTTAAATGCATGGGAGTGGCAGATAGCAAAAATAAGACCCGAATTTCTTCTAAAATTCTGGGTTCATAAACAAGACATCTATTTAAATCAGTTTTGGTAGGTAGCACGAAATTCATAAGTTTGGGATGATTCTGGCAGGGCTGAGATCCGAGTCCAATTCAGACATGTACCTGGCAGTCTCTACAAGAGGAGTTTTGGGGCCGACATCGACCAAGCAACAAATGAATTGGTAATTCGCGTGCAGCCTGATGAAGCTATATACTTGAAGATCAACAATAAGGTGCCAGGTCTGGGCATGAGATTGGATCGATCGAACTTAAATTTGCATTATGCCGATCGGTATGCTGTCTTCACCTGTATCTCTGCTTTATTTTCATCAGGATGTGCCATTACAGATAACCATGAAAGTTGAGTAATTTAATCATTTGAATGTGTGATCGTTGGGCACGATTGTCCAAACTAACTGATATATCTATATATATATATATATATATATTTTTTTTTGACGTTTGTATTTTTACGACGCAGTGGGATAATAATGGTTTAATTATCTTCCAAATATGAGCTGGTTTTCTGCAAATATTTAGTACACCATTGACGTGTTATTTGATTTCTGCAGGTATAATCGGGAAATCCCTGATGCGTATGAACGGCTGTTACTAGATGCCATCGAGGGTGAGCGCCGACTTTTCATTCGTAGTGATGAACTGGACGCTGCATGGGCATTGTTCACGCCTCTACTGAAAGAGTTAGAAAAACGAAAAGTAGCTCCAGAGCTTTACCCATATGGCAGCCGTGGTCCAGTAGGTGCCCATTATCTGGCTGCCAAGTACAACGTTAGATGGGGGGATAACAGCTCAGAGACTTCTGACAGTGTATAAACCATGACTGCAGCTGATAGTTGCTAAGGATCAGATCAGACCTGGTGGATATCAGTGATAATCACTTTTGATTGATGTTTTTACAATTTGTACTTCACAAGTTGACACTACAGCTGCCCTGGGCCGTTGGAGTCATTCTACAACGAATCCGTCGACTTATATGGTGGTCTTCAGAAACTACCCGAGCAGCAGTTGCTCAAAGCAGTGAGAAGGAAAGTCTGAAGGAGTTGTTGTAGCCGGAGAAGAAGAGATGAACCGGATAAAGTTATAAGCAAATCCAATGGTGCAATTCGGGTTCGCGGTTGCCAAGTCCACTATTCGATCTCATCACTGGCAGGCACTGTATACTGGAAGATGTTAAGCATATATCACCACTAACATAGTACTAGGGCTCAGTTAGTTCTTCATACAATTTTGACATGATGTGTTAGATCCTTGAATTCTCATTAAAACGTGGTTGCTTTCCCGCTACCATACTGCTTTGGTTTTGTGCCTCAGTTTCCTTGTGTAATGGAGTTGCACAAGTGAACATTACTAGCTTAACCTACAAATAGCTGTTTCATAACTCGGACTATCTGGAATAGGCACACCAACATTTTCTCGATTTGGGTCCTCATTTCTTTCGCTTTAGTGTTAGCGATCAATTTCTGTTCAGAATCTTTAAATGTAAATGCTAAAAATGAATAAATAAACAGTTGATTAGGATCAGGTATTATCCATGAACAATGCACTTCATGAATACCTTTGCACAGTGATTTGACCGTTCTTTCAAAGAATTATAGATTTCTTTCCAAACATATGATACATATAACATAAAAATTTATTAATTCAATTATTATAATTATAATTACTATTAATTTTTTTTCATATATATTAATATTTTAAAATAAATTAGAATTAAAAATTAATTTTAAAATTTTAATTTTGGCTTAGGCTACATGCTCATCCCAACATTTTATATGCACAATAAAAACATCTAATGGTTGCTTTGTTTATCTAGTACAATGGATTCAAAGATGACTTACTTCCCTTCTTTATCTTAGTGCAAGTCCCAGTCTTAATACAAGTTTTAGACTTTCTTTTCTTTTTCTATGAAATAAGATTGGATTCTCTAAGATCTAAAACCTTACCAAATCCATAACAACAAAGATCTTCACACAACGTAAGACCAAGCACACCAAAATAAAACTGAAAGTAATTAAATGGAATGGAATCTAAAAGATAGGATTGAGTAGAAGAGAATAGAACGAAACAAAACCAAATAGAAGGGTGTCATATTATAATTGTTTATAGTATGTAAAAATCAACTAAAACATATAATCTATATATTAAGATTGCTCAACTAGACAAGTGCCAGGAGACAAGTCATGGCTCTCCTTCACCGCATGCTCTCCACTTTGTTTTCATCAAAAAAAATTCACATTATGTGGAAAAACATGACCTTTAACAGAACTAATAACTTGTTTCGGGATGTTAACGTGTTGTGTCAATACCTTCCGTGTGCCGCCTCCTATACTCATAACATTCTTTTGCATTCTTCTTCTCGAGTGAATGGGAGAGCAAGTGGTAGTTGCTATGCGTTGCAGGTGGGTGTAGAGCTCTACACGATGGTATTGAGCTGCTGCGTTCGGTTGGCTGGTTGGTTGGACGTCATCGTGTGTGGTTGTGTGGTAAAACACTAAGGCAAACTGGATGGTTTGGAGCAAGGCCGAGGAAAGATCCATGGCTTGATGATCTTGAATGTTGGTGTTGCTAGGAGTAGAGAGCCGCTGAGAGTGGAGAATGCAAGAGATTCATCACAATGATCTTGGTGGTGGATAGAGAGCTCTATGCAACGGTATCGAGCTGCTGCATTCGGCTGGCTGGTTGGTTGGACGTCGTTGTATGTGGTAGTGTAGCAAAGCACTAAGGCAAACTGGATGGTTCGAAGCAAGGTTGGAGAAAGATCCATGGCTTGATGATCCTGAATGCTATTGCCACTGGGAGTGGGGGGTCGCTGGGAGTGGGGAATGCAAGGAATTCATCACAATGATCTGGGTGGTTCAATGAGCTCTTGCAGTTGGATCTTCTCTTATTATTACGAGTGAATTTTACAAGCGAACGCTTGATGATCTTGAATGCTGGTGCTACGAGGAGTGGGTGCAGCTCCAGCTCTTGAACTCCAGCTAATCTGGTGCACACCTCAGAAGGTAAGCCGTGTTGCAGGTAGATCGATGATATAAAAAATTGACGATATAAAAAATTGATCCATATATACATATATAAGAGGTAAGCTACACGTAGTAGGTAGATCAATGGTATAAAAAATTGACGACATAAAAAAATTGATCCATATATGCATATATAAGAAGTAAGCTACAAGTAGTTGGTAGATCGATGGTATCGAGCTACTGCGTCCAGCTGGCTGGTTGGCTAGACGTTGTCGTGTGTCGTTGTGTGGCAAAGCATTGAGGCAAACTCGATGAATTTTATGAACTGGATTATTACGAGTGAATTTTATTGCTTGAATTTTATCGCTTGTTGGTGCCGCTGGGAGTGGGTACAGAATGCTGGTGCCACTGAGAGTGGATGCAGAATGTTGGTGCCGTTGGAAGTGGGTGCAGCTCTAGCTCTTGACGCGGTGTTGGAAGCTAATCCAGTGCACACTTCAAGAAATAAGCTGCTGTAGGCAGAAGCCACACCTGGATAAAACACAATTACACCTGAGGAGGTAAAACACAAGTCAAGTAAGTTTTTAAGTTTTTATTTTTATTTATTATATTAGTTTGTTTTATGGGTACTGATTTTGTTTGTGCCTTCTGTTGTAGGTTTTGTCAAATGATAAGAAGAGGCCATTGTATGTGATCAATATCATTTTACAAAGAATTAAGTTTTAGGACATCTTTCTCTAGAGCAAGCAAATGAATTCATTTGCAATATTTTTATGACAATCAAAGTTAACTTAATGAATTCATTTTATGACAAAAAAAATATGAATTTTTTTATATTCAACTTTATATGTATAAATATATACATATATCTATTTGAATACAAAATTAAATAATGATATAAAATGATATAATAATAAATATTTATTATTTTATTTATTTATTTTGATTAATTTTGATTTGTCAATCTTTCGATAATCCTTCACATGAATGATGCCCATTTGGAAACTATTTAATCCAAGAATTCGATGTGGGTTGTTTGGAGGCATCAATATTTATTATTCTACTTGAATTTATTTTATTATAAAAAAAAAAACTCCTTGGCTTTATTATGATCAACATCGAGTTCCATTTTTGGGCCATCTTGCTCTAGAGCAAACAAATGATTTCATCTGTAATGACAATCAAAGTTCACTTACTCTAGCCATGTCAAATTTATTTTTAATTCATGCCAAAATTATACTTTACAAATGATAAGCTGTTGGTAATAGAAAGGTTGATTAAATTGCAAAGCCGATTGGGAGGAAAATTGGAGCAATTATCATTTTTTAATTCTTTGGAGTGTAAGCATGAAGACTAAAAGGTGTGAATCACAACTTTTTGCAAGCCTTTAATAAATGAACCATAAATAAAAGAATTTTGTGCTTGACTTTTTTGATTCTACATTGCATGAATTTCACATCCTTCGGCTATTATCTTTCTTTCTTCTATAACAAAAGCTAGGATATTATTATTAAACACGGATGTATATAGGAATTTTCAAAGAAATAAAGTCATTTTAATATTTTAATAGTTTTTATCTTTATAATTATATTTATAGTTTTTATTTATAATTATATTTATTATATTATATTTCATATTATATCTTCATTATAAATATGGGTTCTTGAGCAACAAAATTTTATTGGAATTTTACGAATATTGTTAACAACAACAAGAATTGTTGTACAAAAATTAAATTGTAAGAATTTTATTTCCTCTTCTTATATGAGATTTTTTATATTCAAGTTCATATGTATAAATATATATATATATATATATATATATATATATATATATATATATCTATTTGTGTATATAAATAAATAATAATATATATTTTTAATAAATATGGAGGTATAATTTATGGAGATACAATTTTATAGAGGCACAATTTAGATGACTCCAAGCTTACTCCAATTCTTTGGTGAAACCCATGCCGTTGTGAATGGTCTAGCTTTAATAATGAATTGAAGAACAATTGCTCAATGACAACGTAGGAAACATGAGAGAGCACAAATAAAAACTAAAATAGTTACAAGTACTGAAGCAATACATAATCTAGGAAGGATGAATGTTTTGTGTCCTCATTGTAATGCATTGTATTGGTTTGATGAACATTTAGCCTAGTTGCGAAGGAAGTTGCCATTATTTGGACAATGTTGTCATCAAGAAAAAATTTCTCTACCATCTCTACCTTCTCCGCTTTTGCTTTTGAGATGCTTATTTTAAGACCAAGATGTAAGATTAAGGGAGTTCCAAAAAAATATTTGTGAGTACAATGCTACACATGCATTTATATTCTTAAGTAAAAGTATTGATCGATCTATGCTTCAAGAAAATGCTCCATATGGTTTTGGAATAAATAGAGAGTTGCGCCATTTAGTAAGAGCATTATTATCAAAAGAAGGTAACAACCTGACTTATGCACAATTCTATATCGACAATGCATCATTTGTATAAGATAGAAGAATGAGACGTGATTGTAGTTTATTGAGTCAAGCTATGTAGGAAATTGGAGAATTTTTGAAGAAAAATAATACATTTATTAGATTATATAGACAAGTACATAAAATACTATCTTAGGTGCGGAATGAAGGAATAGTGGAAGTAGATCTTGCTGTTTCTTTGCACTTTATGAATGAAAGCAATAGACATCGATATAATCTTTCCACCACTTTTGAAGAAAGTACTATTATATTGGTTGGAGATAGATCGGAGTATAATGCACTTTGTAATATTATTATTTGCCTATATAGTAATAGATTATTAAAAAGGATTCATAAGGCTCATCTAGCTTATTTGCCCCTTTATTATATTTTATTTTTTCTACATGAAATTCTTAAATGGCATCCTAACTTAAGGGTGCAAAATGTAATGATGGATATTGTTGAAGAAAGAGAAGGTACTGGATGAGAGGATTGAAGAGGCAACAACCTTATACAAATGGATTATTTTTTTATTGAATTTTTTTAAGGCCTACTGAGTATTCTATAATTTTGTGTGGAGGGAAGTTATTACAAGAATTTATGGTTGATGGATAGATAACAACTAAGCAATCATGTTTGTAATATCTACATTACAATCAAGAAAATTTACATGCTGATTTATACCAAGGATTAGTAGATGCTATTATAACTCATCAAAATATTGGGCATCAAGAAAGACAATATGAATTATATAATTTAAGATACAGGATCTTACTTCTATTATCACATATTAGAAGTGCAAGACATATGATAGAAATATTTTAAGTTTCTATAGTAATTATAAGGTTTTATTAGCATCTTGATATTTTTATGACAATGATAGTAAATCTAAGATGGTCCAAAATCCAAAATGAATTGCTTTAAGAACAACAAACAAGTGACCGGCCAGATTTGGTTGCCCATGTATTTGAATTTAAGAGACGTGCAATTGTAGAAAATATAAAAAAAAGAATTATCTTTGGTCATGTTGTTGCATATGTTTATACCATTGAGTTTCAAAAGAGAGGTCTATGTCATATGTATATCTTGGTTT